TTATTCCGTCGTTTTGTTTAGCCGTTTATCACGATATTTGTTTATTCCGTATCAATCCTTTTGATTATTGGTTTATCCGTTTTGTTTATTTGTTTATCCGTTTTGTTTATTCGTTTATCCGTTTTGTTTTTTAAAAATTTTTTTTTTTTTTATAGCCGTTTTTTGTTTATTTCGCCTTATTCACTGTTTATTCGTTTATCCGTTTTTATTATTTGTTTATTTCGTTTTGTTTATCTTGTTATCACGTTTTGTTTATTCCGTTTATCCGCTCTTCTGTTATCATGTTGCTTTTAATCCGTTTTTGATTTGATTTGCCTTATTCCGGTTATTGTTGTTGTTTTTGTCCCCCCGTAGTTAAGCTTTAATATGTTGCATCTGGTCTGTCCTGTCTTTGTGATTGTCGCTTTTCGTCTTACATTCAATATATCACTTGCCTAAAAGTTTGTCCCAACATCGTGTCTCGAAAGGGATAGAACATGAGAAAGAGAGTGGCAGGGCAAAGGAAAAAAGGAGCAGGGAAAAAATAATAAACAGAAAGAAAATACTGCATGAAAACCATAAGGACAAAAATGACAGAAAGAAAAAAATGGACAAATACCCCACCATACCCTTACCCAACCGTTCTTCTCATCTTACAGAAAACATAAAGACGACAACCGCATAATGAAAACACAAAAATAAAATACACCTATACTAGAAGGAGAATAAAAGGAAGACAAAATACACAAAGATATTAAAAGTAAAGACAACCTGACACCAAGGTCAAGAAGAAAAAGAGCAGTCAATAAGACCAAAGGAGGTAACGAAGTGACACCCAAAAAAGAGAAGGCACAGCAAGAAGGTGAGGGTCTAGTGGAGTTGACCTCCATTCCGACAGACAAAGCAATTTCCTATATTATTGAATTAATCCAATAACGCCATCAAAAGGAGATTAAAGACGAACAGATAATAGCTCTGGATATCAGATTTCAATAATGCGAAACGAAACGGAAATGGCATTGATTCGTCCTTTTGTACAGAGTGTTGTGTTGATGCGTGACTGTTGTTCTGCAACTTGGGTGTGTGTTCTTACATTGCAGTGTTTATGCGAGAGACACACACGCACACACGCACGTGCACGCACGCACGCGGCACGCACACACAACACACACACACACACACACACACACACACACACACACACAACACACACCACACAACACACACACACACACACACACACAACACACACACACACACACACACATATATGTACATATATTCATATAGATCTATGTATACACATCATCTTCTTTAATGTTGGCTGTCATTATTCCATAAATGTATAAAGTTTGTATTTTGTTCAGATTATCTTAAATAGAACTTTTTTCAGAGCACGAGTTTCCTTTTTCAGAATTAAACTTCAATATTGTCAAATCCTCGTTACGTATGTGATACTTATCATAAAGTATGTTGATTCCACTTCAAAGGATTCATTTCTTATAAATACACTCACACACACACACACACACACACACACACACACACACACCACACACACCACACACACACACACACACACACACACACATATATAATATATATATATATATATATATACTATATATATATATATATATATATATATATATAATATATATATACATACATATATAGAAGGAAAATTCAAAAGAAAAAGAACAAGATAATAAATAGAGAAGAAGAGGAAGTACAAAGAAGGGAAGAAGAAAAAAAAAATAGAACAAGAACAGTTAAGACGAAAAGGCGACCCAAAATAAACCCGCACTTCTCTGCCAACACCCGCACCAGGCCGACGGAACCTCCACCCCTCCAGCAGCCCACTCCCGTCCGCGTCGCCGCCGCCCTTCACCCCCCAGCCCCTCGCCTCTCTCATCTCTCATATTCTTCTGTCAATCGTCAGCTCTCTCATCTAGTCAGTACTACTACCAGACTCTCTCTTCTCCTCCTCTCTCTTCCTTCTTTCTTCTCTCTCTTCTCTCTCTGCTTCCATGGCCGGGCGTATTCCTCTCCCACCCCTCCTCCCTCACCTGCCCCCTCCCTCCTCCCTCGCTCTCCCCTCTCTCTCATCTCTATCTCTCCCTCCTCCCTCCTTCCTCCCCTCCCTTCCCCTCTCCTCCCCCTCCCTCCCCTCCCCCTCCCTCCTCACCCTCCCTCCCTCCTCCCTTCTCCTCGCCTCCCGTGTGCTCTCTCTCTCCTATCTCTCTCTCCCTCCCTCTCCTCGTCTCTTCTCTCTCATCTCCATCCTTCTGTAGTCCTCATGCACTGCGTCTCTCTCTCCCTCCCTCCCCCCGCCCCTCACTTCCCTCCTCTCTCTCTTCTCTCTCCTCTCTCTCTCTCTCTCTCTTCGTCCCTCCCTCCCCCCCGCTCTCTCCTCCCCCCCCCCCAGCCACCACCGCCCCCCCTCCGTCCCTCCCCGCTCTCTCGCCCCCCGCCCCCCGCCTCCCTACCCCCCCCCCTCCGCCCCCCCCCTCCCCCCCCTCCCCCCCCCCCCCTCCGCCACCCCTTCCCCCCCCCACCGCCCCGTCTCTCCCCCCCCCTCCCCGCCGCCACACTATCCCAATTTTTTTCACTCCCGACACGCCCCCCCCCCCCTCTCTCGCCCGGCACTCCCCTCCCCACACGCCCACCCGGCTCAACCCCCCCTCCTGCCAATTCTGCCCATCCCCTCCCCCCCCCCCCCTACCCGCCCCCCCCCGCGCCAGCCCGCTGTCCCTCGTCCACGTCCCCCCCCCTCCCGCCACGGATCCCGCGGCTGTCGGTATCACGATCGAGACGTCATCCACCATCCCCCCCCGCACCCCCCGCATCCTACCATCATGCTCGTCGTTCCGCGCTAGACAGACTACTCGGCTACTCATCTCTTACGACCCTATTACCTATTATCGTTAACGACGCCATATCCACGCGTGCCTTCCATAGTCACATAGATCACCGCATTGAGACATCTGCA